CTGATGATGAAAAATTAGGGGGAGTGGCTGACCCACCAGAAGACTGTGCTGCCATTCAGATATGGACCTGGACAGGCTGGAGAGCGGGGCGGAGAGGAACCTCCTGAAGTTCAACATAGGCAAGTGCAGGGTCCTGCGCCTTGGGAGAAATAACCCCATGCACCAGTACAGGCTGGGGGATGACCTACTGGAAAGCAGCTCTGCAAAGAAGGACCTGGGAGTCCTGGAGGACAAGAAGTTAACCATGAGGCAGCAATGTGCCCTTGTGGCCAAGAAGGCCAATGGTCTCCTGGGGTGCATTAGGCAGAGTGTTGCCAGCAGGTCGAGGGAGGTGATCCTGCCCCTCTACTCAGCCCTGGTGAGGCCTCACCTGGAGTCCTGTGTCCAATTCTGGGCTCCCCAGTACAAGAGAGACATGGCACTCCTGGAGAGAGTCCAGCGGAGGGCTACCAAGATGATGAGGGGACTGGAGCATCTCTCCTATGAAGAAAGGCTGAGAGAGCTGGGCCTGTTCAGCCTGGAGAAGACTGAGAGGGGATCTCATCAATGTGTATAAGTATCTGAAGGGAGGGTGTCGAGAGGATGAGGCCAGCCTATTCTCAATGGCTGGTGAGGGTGACAGAGCACTGGCACAGGTTGCCCAGAGAGGCTGTGGAGTCTCCTTCCTTGCAGATATTCAAAACTTGTTTGGACGTGATCCTGGGAAATGTGCTCTAGAGGACCCTGCTTGAGCAGGGAGGTTGGACTAGATGATCTCCAGAGGTCCCTTCCAACCTAAACCATTCTGTGATTCTGTGATTCTGTGATCTTTCCTAGGGGTAATTTCTGGAAGAGAAGTCTGGAGGCTTTCACGTGTTCTAGTTGATTCACTGGAGTGTGATAACAGCTGGTCAGAACATCAGCTGGTATAAATGGACACTGTTCCACTGATATGCCAGAGTGTTTATACCCAGCTAACTTCTGAGCGCTCACTGAGCACCTGCTCCAAATCCAGCTGGCAAATTCAAGTAGGCCTCCAATGACCTCTGTGGATTTATACCAAACACAGTCTTTAAGGTTCAGATAATTCAACACATGCCTTTATGGGAAAAAGAAAAGAGATCTTGGAATTATAACGAAAAGTCAGATTAACATCAGTATAAATCCACTGTGCATTTCATCATCTCAAGCACTGTGTACAATTCTGGATTTTCTATCTTGGAGAAAACACAGTAGAATTAGGTAGGCTAGGTACAGAAAAAGGCCACAAGTATGATCTAAGATATGAATGGCTTCTGAAGAACATGGACTAGAATTCTTCTGATGGGACCAGTGATGACAGACAGAGGATATGACAGAGGTCTGTAGAATTACAAGTGGTATGGAGAATGTGAATAGGGGATGACTGTTCATTGTGCCTCAAAACATGAACTAGAGGGCTTCCCATGAGATGATCAGTTTGAAATAAACCAAGGGAGCTACTTCATGCACAACTCATAGTCAAAGTGTGAACCTCATCTACAACATGCAGTAGATAAAATGCAATACTGAAGGTACCAAGTATTAATGTGGATTTAAAAACAATTAGAAAAAATCATGAACTTTTTTTTATTTTATTTTTCTAAAAGCAGGAAATATTAAACACAAAGACCCCACTAATAGCTCAGGAAGCCTGAGCTGCAAGCTACTGAAGACTAGGAGAGTATGCTGAGGAAGTATTACTATATACTTTCCCTATTCTTGCATTCTTCCATGGGCATCCATTATTAGCCACTGTCAGAGTGGTACTCAAGAGGGTACTGAGCTAAATGGGTCTTTGATCTGACCTAATATGGAAGCTGTTACCAGAGAAAAGAAGATTATGTAACTGGCCCAGAGATGGGAGCAGAACCCAGGTATTCCCCCCACTAGACCTTTTTTCCCTTACAAAGTCACGCTCCAAGTTTATTTGTTACCAGAACACGCGATAAAGCTACACTAAGGAGGGAGTTTTGCTCCATGTTTAACACCATCCTTTACGCCCTACAGCCCACTCATGCAGCTTCTCACCAGTCACATCTCCTGAGACAAGGAGAAAGTCAGATTCACAACTGGCCAGTCTTCTTCATACAGACAAATGAGTCATGAACTTTCCTGGAAGATAAGTCTTTGCAGAGGCACTAACTCAAGTTCATTACATTCAGAAGAACCCTCTTGATTTGGCCTACCTCAAGTAAGAGTGGCTCCATTGTGAGAGCATGTGCAAAAGGTCATTGTGCTCCTTACTGCAGTGCAAAGTTTTATTTTTCAATGAAGTGCTGGAAAACATCACCTGTCTTTTCTAGACAGACAGTGGGAACACATTTAAGTTCTAGCAGGATTTGAATACAGATGCCCTGTACAATTACTGTGTTAGTGGCCAAAAAGTTATGCTTTCACCTAGACCTGTCTTTCATGGCAGCCAACTTCATATTACTCTCCTGAGTCATGCATTGCACTGAGTGCATTCTGTGTGCATGCTACAGGACTCAAGATAGAGGCAAATATTTGAGCTAACTAGAATCAACTGTGCAGTCAAGACAAGCCCTGAGCCAGGACACCTGTCAACTCCTACCAGAAAGGATAAGGATGGACAACTCAGTCTGAATCACAATTTCTTTAACATACAGTAAATCTTGTTTCCTAAGAGTGGGAAGTCCCAAAGTACAGCTGCTGGAAAGTGTGATACCATCATCCTTGATCCAAAACACTCAAAAGGGCAAAGAAAGCCAGAAGTTCAATTGCAGCATATATTCACATTAAAGGAGACCTTTTCAAAATCCTTTTTTCAAGTTGAATGCATGCATTATTTAATGTTTAGTTCACACTAACAAAGTGCCATCCATATTACAAAGGGAGAAAAACAATTGGACTATTATGTGCTCCCCCACGCTCCTTCAAGGACCACTATAGTACACAAGCTACAACATACATACAGCTCATTAGAGACCCATACCACCAGAAGGGACTGTGACAGAGATGAAATCCCCCAGGACTGAGTCGAGTTGTCTCTCTCATTCACCCCCTTGTGCTCAGTATTAAAACTGGGGAGATCTGCAGAAGGAAAATTTGTCTCACAGCCAGGTGATTTTATGATGTATGAGCCCCCTCCATCCACTCATTACAGCACAAGCCTGACAGTACACCTTTGCCTCACTACCATTGCTCTTGCTAATCAGGGGTCCCCATAACCCTCTCCAAGCTACATGGTTCTTCCATGGGACAACAGCTGTCTTGGCATTGGGAGAAAGGTGAAAAAGAAACTTGTGGACATGGGGATGGAAGGTTCTGTTCCCTTCTTTGTCTTTCTTAAATCAGCTCCTCCTGGCTCACCTTAATCTCACTGCACCTGATGCAAGGCAAACATGAGTGACAGCTGTGCCCTCAAGTGGTCCGTGCAAAGCATTCTACACCATACAGGGCAGTTCTTATCATTGGCAGCCCAAAAGGCTCTAGAGGATGGATTAAGATGCAGATACATGTTTGGGTCCTGGAAAAGGACATTTGACTTTTGGAAACATTCATTGCTTCTAATTGAGTGAACACTCAGTCAAGAAGGAAAGCTGCTTTTCTGCCTGGGGACCCTGTGGTCACTCCCAGACATCCTGCTGGATTTCCATCTAAACAGCCCTCCCTGAATAGGTTCTTACACACAAAAGAATAAGGAGGCACATATAAATCCCCTCACCATGCCTCTGTGAGCTTGGCTACATTCATTCTCTCATTCTGCAGAGCAGGAATCAATATACTAAATAAAATCATACAGCAGATCAGTGGCAGAGCCAGAAATCCTGGTGCAATATTTTAATCAGACAACTTTCTCTATATGGCTAAACTATACTATTCTCGTTTGGGCAATCTTTGGGCTGTTCTGGATAGAGCAGACATTATATAAAAACAATTGTTTAATCTTGCCCCCCTCAAAAGTGCCAGTGCATTTCACTGTGCACCCTTGAGAATTTCCTTCCTAAAATTGTGCTCTTCCCATAATTTGCTAGTAATCACTGTTATGCTGTTAGTTATCTAAAACTCTTCTTTTCCTCAGGCTGCAATTCCATCAACAACTTAAGCTGGTAGAAGAATGCATTGACATAAGATGTGAGGCTCTCACATGCACACATGCCCTGACTGACCACTGGTTCTTGCTCTTGCACTATTCCCTTCTTTTTCCAGGGCAAGTATTTGTGCAACCATGCAATGAAGCTAGTCAATTTTAATCCAGATCAGTTCCCTGATACAATTCACTACATGGCTTTGCAGAAGGAACAACAAATGGGGACACACAGGGGCAGGAACAAGCATCTGGAAGCTGGACTATTTTTTCTGGAAGCATCTTGCAGATACAACCTCCTCACTGCCTAGACACCCCAGCGTCAGAAAACCCCAGTGTTACTATTCAGGCCCTTAGTGTTCAATTTACATACATAGTCCTTGCACGTTGTTGCAAGTCCTTTTCACCCTACATGCATCCACCTAATCACATTACCATTCTTTTTCTCTGCTTCTCAAAAATTACAGAATGCTGCAGTCAGTAGAGAGAGCTGAGAACCTGCCTCCAAATTTCTGTTGTACCTGCATTTGAACTGACACGTTTTTTACTTACTGACATGTCATTCTGTGAAGCTCATCAAGGGGATTAAGTAAAAAAAAAGTTAATCACTGAGTTAATCAACTTGTTGGCATTGGTTTACAGGTTTTGCAGTAGATATGGTGCGCACTAGCTTCAGAGTATGTGTTGAAGATTTGACCCACAATGCCTTTGATGATAAGCTCTTAGTCAAAAGCCTTCTTTGTTCAAGAGCACAATGTTCCCTCTTTGTCCAAGGATTTTATTGCAAGTCAAGGAACTATTTAGCCTTTAAAGCCACTAAGTTTAAAATGTGTGGGGAGTGATCCTAGAGTTAATTTCTTCATTCCAGCTAGCCACATCAAAGCTAGTGGATTTTATTTCACTCAGGTATTACAGCAGCCTGAACCAGGGGGCAGCCTTTTACATTTATTCTGAAGAAAACCCTGGTCCTTGGTAAAATGGTGTAGAATGCACAGCAGGTTCAGAAGTCAGAAGTGCTAGCTTCAAGACTCAACAGCTTTTTTTTTTTTTTCTCTGAAGCTGAGATCATAAGCCAACTTCTTATTCTTGTCAAGTAGCACAATTAGAGTGGCTTATGGCTTTTTTCTTTCATCAATAAACAATATAGGTGTAGATACAGTCAGTATCTGCTCCTGTCAGACTAAATAGTGGAGCCTTTCCTAAAGGAGAAAAGTAGTACTGACTCTCTGCAGGGCCCAGCAGACCTAGGCTGAATTGTACTAGCTGAAACTCTGGCCTGTTCTCAGTAAATTTCCCTATAATTTATACAACGATCCCACCTGCTGATGGGTATTTTCAAGTGTCAGTTGTACAGCTCTTATCTTTCAATACAAACATACTAATGGTAAAATTTTTGAGAGAGACAGGATCACCAGCCCATTCACTTCCCATGGGCACATCTGAACCTCTCATCTGGTGGAGATCAGCACTATACAGATAAGAGCAAGCATGGGCAGGGAACAAAAAGGAAAAGAAAATCTTACGGAATTGTAGGGTATTTCTATGGAGAAGTCTCTATTGGTAAGTACCCATACAGGAACAAAACGGAAGAAGGTTTAATTCATAAAATACTGTCTTCCATTTTCATGCTTTCAGCCTGAGACTCACACAGTTGAGTTCTCTCCACCCACATACACATACATGCAGGTCGGGGTTACAGACTCTCTCTCCCATTCTGTAGGATATAATTGATCACCCTGGTCTGGGCTCAGCCACCAAGCTACATGTACTACATGTGGTCAGGAAGGGGAAGCAGAGCACACTGCTGCATGGGGGCAGGATGCTATCTAGTGAGAGCTTTCTGTTCTCACAGAGCCCTAGCAGCTCCCCTGTAGCCCTGCCTCAGCAACAGTATGCTAACAGTAATTGTTCCTCATCACGTCCTATTAGAACTAGACTTCCCAATGGAACTGGATCTGTACAGAGAATCTTGCTTTGTCCTGTGCACACACAGTTGTTCTGTACAGCTCTTTTCCCCTGCATGGCATTATCTTGCCACAGGTGTGTATTGAAAAGTCAGTGCAAATACCAGCTATAGAGTGCTTTACATGCAGTATGCCATGGAAACAAGGGCTGCAAAGGCTCAGCACAGCACTTCATCCACTTGGAGGGAGCATTGTATAGGGAAGAGGACAATAAACAGTGTTACAATCACATTATCTCCTTTCCCCATTTAAAAAGAATCAAAAAAATTTTTCATTTCACAATGGCAGCTGCTGTCTGTGCACTGCGCTCTAAGATACATAACTACTGCACTTAGCACACCCCTATCATATGCTCACTTCTACCACTTCACAATCTTTTATGCAAGCTTTATTAATGACAATTTGGCACTGTCCAAAGCAAGGTCTGTAAATACCAGATAGCAGAAAAGAAGAAAGCTCCAGAGAGACTGGCTGGAACAGGAATACCTTTAGGCTAATGTTTCCAAAGTGTCAGAGGGTGACTGCTTTCCTGAGGGCAGAGGGTCTCATATCACCTACAGTGGAGCTCTGTGTCCCAGTACCTGTATCACTCCCAACCTGACTCCCAATAAGGTTGATATTTAGAGGCTCTAAGTTTGATGTTTTGTGTCCATCTGCCTACCAGATAGAATTCACCCCTGTGAAGAGGGCTGGTCATTTCACCACTTTCATTCCATTCAGTTCCCAAAATTCAAACATTTCTGAATCATTAAAAGTAAATGTATGCATATACATTTAGCTAATATACTAGGAACAGCTTAGACCATTCTTTTTCAAAATAGATTATTTTGTGTTAAAAAGACAATTTTTGTGCTGTCACCTCATCTCTTTATGCTTATGATTAGCTCACTCTACCAACAGGAAAGAAAAATGCAGATGGAGGACACATGGAAAAGAGAAAATGAGCTGTAGTGGAGAAGTAACTGACTACTATGTACTGAGCTGAAGAGTAACATGATTCCAGTACTTTATAATCAACCTCTTTGACTGGGGACAAAGCCAAGCAACTGGTACATGAGTTTGTTCTGAAATGGTCATGAAATCTGGAAGCTCACAGAGTAGAAATGTTTATTTCTTCCACAGTAGACATTAGAGCATTTGTTGTACTGGATAAAAAAGTGATTTCTGTGGTCCCTTCTCCGTACTGATATTTCCAGCATTAACTTCCTCAATTTTTTGTATTTTATCCAGATATTGTAGAAATGTTTTATTATCACTGAGGGTTCCTAGATAGACAGCTAAGTCTGTTCCAACTATTTTCTTCAAGCCCCCCTAAATAATGTATTTTCATGAAGGTCAATTATTTAGCTCTTGATCCAAAACTTAAGAATTCCATTCACTTCAGGGATCTTTCAAACAGGACCTTAAAAACTCACTCTTCTTTGTATGTATTAGACCTAGTCAAAGGTTGTGGCCTGCCAATGGCTATAAGTGTCTACATTCAATGAGCCTTACAGTAAGGGCAGATGGTGATGGTTCTAGCACTCAGCATGTTTCTGTAACATCTGGGGGCTCATTCCAGCTCAGATACATCTGACCAAAATGCAGGAACAATCAATAGTCCATTTGTTACTATGCAGCATGTTTTCCTCCTCTTGAGGAATCAAATTACAGGCTAGACACATTCACAGGTGATTCCTCATGTAATACATTGTAACAGACAGGGCAAGAGTGACAGGAGGAGGCAGAGTTGTTTGAACTTCAGGGATCAAGACCCTCTTTCATATTGACAATAAACAACTCCAAAAACAGAGGGATGAGTACTTGTGAGCACCCTGAGCTTTCCTAGAATTTGCATCAGAATCCTTAGATTGCAAACCCTAGAAAATGCCACAACTCTCAGTGAATAGCCTCTTGCAGATGTGATCTGTGGACTCACCTGGAGGGGCTTCATAGGGTCCAGGTTAGAATGGAAGGCCCATTCTGCTGCATGGAGTTTTTCCTTTGGTACAGTGCAAATGAAGGCTTCATGGTCCATAGCCACTGACTGGTTTTGGATTGTAAAAAATTCAGAGAGCACTGAGGCATTACAGAGATCTTGCACTTGCATTTGGTAGCCAGACACAATGACCTGAAAAGGTGGGGAAAGCATACAAGCCTTCATCAGTAAAACATTCATAACACAAAGTTGGTATCACCTAGACAGAACTAACCATTCATAACATTTCAAGATAGAGGGAAGAGGGTATTTGTCCTCTGCGGATTGCATGGTCCTGACACGTGCTTAACTTTGAATCCCAAGAAAAACATGTTTCCCTGCCAAGTTCCACAGGAAAAAGTCCTGGGAGAGGCAGGGCCCTCTCCACTTCTCCACATACATGCCCAGAGCATCAGTAATCCTGCCCTCTACAGCAGCCATTTCCTCAAACCAAGGGTACATGTATTGCCCAATCTCTAGTCTTCTAGGAACTGAGCCACAGAGACAAAGTAACACTTGTGATCACACTCAAGTCTGGCAAATATATGCAAAGGGCAAAAGATCTATGGCCCAGACTCCTGAGATAGATTATCTACCAGCCACATTTTCTATGCTATTCTGAATTAATATCTTCTCCCTTAGCTCTGAGGTATCTCTTGTAAGAGCTGAGAGAACCATTTTGCAGTGTTTTGGAGTAAATACTGTACCAGTGAAATAGCGAATCACCTTACTGATTGCAACAGAGAACAGATCAGATCCTGGAGTCTTCTTCCACAGGCATATTTTACTTGAGGTGATGGTTTGTTTGTGGATAAGATTTACTCATCCACAAATAACCACCTTAGTTGTGAAAGAAACGCCTGAAATCCCTTTGAATGATCACAAGTGTCTGGGTCTGCTGTAGACCTGATAGCCAAGTTTCTTTAATAGGTCAGTAGAAGATTTGTGTCTGCTGGACAGGGCATAGCAAACAGGTACACACTTCATAAAGGTGATAAACACAGGTAACCTCCAGGATTCTGTTGGGAGGGATTTTTTTGTTTGCCTTTGACTAGACAGAGGCAGAGAGACCAATTTTAATATAAATACACAGTGAACAACAGCTTTATGCTTCATTTCTGCTTTCTGCTTTTTTTTTAACAGCCAACATGTATTGCCCAACCTCTAGCAACAACTGATTTATTTACACCCCACAAGAGTTAAATGCATCCTATATCATGCTAATTACATCAAAGAGTATTTTCTCAGTTTTCAAAACCAAAAGGGCATGAACTATCCAGAGGAAAAAAATCCACCATACTCAGAAAAGATATAGATGGAATTGATATGCAAAGTTAGAGATTTTATAGTGCAACGTTCTGCAAACCTTTAACTTTAGCCTGCATCCATTCTCCAAGAACAGGATGCCTCCATGCTGCACCCATGACTGAATAAATTGAATGGTTCTTGTATCAAAAAGACTGGCCTTTTAGAAAAGTCCTTGCCAACAGGGATACTACCACCATCATAGCAGTGCTGAAATAGGATGTTTTTGTGGCTAGAGGCACTGGAATGGCACTCAGGGGATCTGGGTCCAGTGTAACACAGCTTCGCTACATCAACATATAGAAAATCAATGTCTCTCCGTGCCTCAGGTCCTCACCCAGAAAATGAGAATAAAAAATCCTTCCATCCTCTTCTGTGTCTGTTGTCTTCACTCAGATTTTAAGCTCTTTGAGAGAGAAGTCACCTCTTTCCAGAGGCAGCAGGCCCAGAACACATGACCCTGAAACAAAGGCCCTGCTCCCTCACCAAAGCTAAAACACTCAGTCACACCAAGTCAATTCTCCATAACAAGTTTCAGATTAATTAAACTGTGGCATCTTCAATAGGAGAAAACATTATAAATGACAGAACAACTCCCCTAAGGAGTTAAGCTTTTAAGGAATTTAAAGCAGTTTTTGTGAAAGCAGACACAAGTCACTATTTTATACTTGCTGGTCACACCATTCTTTCCTGGGACTAGCCCTGCTATATGAAAGCAGAGAGATTTGTTCCAGGCAGTGTACAGCTGAGTGTGATTATTTTTTCCTTATTGTCACTCAGAATCAGTCATTTTTAAGAGCTGCAACCCTAGCCCAAGACCTCATTATGCCTGTGTTGCACAAAAACAGCGCAGAGGCACAGCCTGTCCCTACAGTCAGAGTCATGTTGTAGCTGTCTGGCTGTGTCTGTCTGGCAGGACTACTACAGCATCTAAGGCTTGACTGGATATCCACTTGCCCGCTGCTATTCTGTGCTCCTTTTGAAATATCACACCCTCCTGAGCACATCTGCCACTGTCAGAGAAACATGAGGTAGAATCTCCCTGCCCCAGGAAGCAATTTGTCCAACAGGACAGGAACTTGGCCATTTTATGTATTTGTATTATACGTGGTACATTAGGATACATGACTGCTTCACAGATTGGGGCGCTATCACAATATTAGCATTCAGCTAATAACAATCCCATCTCCTTGGCAATCTATTTTTATGAGCATAGTTATGGTAGCACTTAAGAGTTTCAGCTGCAATCAGAACACTATTGTACTGCATAAAGCATAAGCTTACTATCTGTCTTGAAGAGCTAGCTATAAAAAGAAAAGCATGCTTTGCTCCCCTGCCTGGGAATCTAAGGCACAGTGTCACATGGTTTGCCCAAGGTCACACAGTCAGTTTGCCATAGAGTCAGGACAGAAACCCTGCTCTTCAGTCCACACTGAGCGACTTAACCACAAAACGATTTTTCCTTTTAATTGAAGTAAAACAATCCAAACAGCACTGGCAGACTAATTAGTGTTTTACTTTTTTTGGGGGGGGAGGATGACACACAAACAACAGGATGAGAAAAATTCTATTTAGCCTGTGGGGTAGTAGGTTAATTTTTTAAACACAAATCAAATCATTTATATGTGGATCTCAGAGTCCTTTTACAGCTTACAGCCAAGTAAGATGGTAAATTTGAGGGCAGGGGGAGGAGAGAAGCTGGGATTATGTTTTACTTTGTTTGTATGACACCTAGTACAGAGGTCCTGCACTGTGGATCCTGGCACTGTGGTAAAACAAACAATAAACTAACTATTATATTAATGATTGAAAGTGCTTTTTACCTGTTGGAGGTTGACCTCAGTGTTCAGTAGCTTGTCTACTGCAAATGGTGGCATAGACACATTATGATGGAGGAAGTCTGAGAATGTCTCATTGTCAACCAGGAAATCCTGAAGTTTCAAGTCTGAAAGGTGACAAAATAAGTAACATTTTGGTTAGAGTAAAGCCAAGAGGAAACTAAGGTGAGAGTTCTGAACAGAAAAGGCAAAAGCTGATGAATGGAGGAGAGGAAAATTACACAAACCAGAGCACAATGGGAGAAGAGGAGCTGCTGACAACATGCTCTGAAACATGGCAGCTTTCAGAGATTGTGGTGAAACTGATGTTTTAACCTCAAAAAACCAAAATCTTTAAAAGCAGCTTCCCTCTAACATCTTTACTTAAGCTCAATTTGCACACACAGTCTGCTTTCAGACACAAAAGAGGCAAGGTAGAACAAGCAGGTCCTCTACTCTGGGATGAGACCTACTCTAGCATTACCCTTGCACACAGATCAGGCTTTGCTTAATTCCTGTGTTAGTGTAAGCAGTACTGAAATGGTGCAAGGACCACAATGATCTAACAAGACTGTGTGTTTAGTTATGCTAAATAATAACTACTAGTACTCTATCACAAAAATATTTCAAAATCTGACATGTGCAGACACACAGATATCAGATCATACAGAATCACAGGCAGATCTAGGAAGAAATCTTACCAACTCTGGCAAAAAATACATTTTTGCAAATGCCATGTTATTTCATTTTCTCTCCTTAAAGCTTCACCTTCTGGAGTCATGGGTATATGTCAGAGCCCTGGGCACACCCCTCCATCCTCCTAAGGGTTTGGCTGCCTGTGCTCAAGGCCAGCTCTGATATGGCACAGCCGCGTAACCTGCGATCAGACTGCTGGGAAAGAGCTGTGTGCAAAAATGCTGAGAGGAGCCTTGGTGGGGGCCTCCACCCTTTGCTTGGGAGCTGCATTTAAGCTCAGGCCCTTGGTCCTTGCCTGAGCTACACTGTAGGTATGCTGTACCCGGCCTTGTGCCTCACTGATCCTGCCCTTGCCTTGCTGACTTGACTTCCTTACTTGACCTTGGACCTGTCTCATCACTACGGACTTATCTGGCCATCACTGGACTATTGGCTGAACCTGGCTGCTGTCACCAAACCTGCTCTGCTCTTCTTGTTTGGGTACTGTGGGACTGCACCCTGTCTGTGAGGCCACTGCCCCTGCTTGCCTTGCTGTTACCCTCAGCTCCCAGCTCACCTGCCCTTATGGGGCAGCCACTCTTGCTGCTCCCAGACAGTATCTCATCTCTCAACTTTCAAACAAATTTTTCTCTCTCATAGCAGAGGGGAATGCCTGGAAGTTTTAATCTATGCACAGATCTAAAGTTCAGAAACTTCAGAGAGTTAAAAAGCTGACCCTCAACACTGTTTCTGTTTTTAAAACTGATTTTTGAGGGACTGATTGTCTTTTTTTTTTTAATGCTTAGTAAGTAATGATCAGGAAAGCAGCTATGTCAGGAGGAGCTGAGAGAATACGGTCCACATGATTTACCAGGGTGAAGATTCCTAGGCATAAGCCAAGTCAACAAGCTTCATAACATGCTGTTTTTCCTATTAAAGGAAGAGTGGATTTGATAGCTGATGGCAAATGGTGGAAAATCACCCCCACATCCAGAGTCATAAACAGAGACTAATGCAAGGGAGTCTGAAGAATTTATATCCTCCTCCTTCTTCAGGGAACAGCATCTGCTGTTACCCAGGATGCTTTTTTCCACCATTTTTGTTTCAATTACCTTGGCTGATCACATACACACACACTCCCAACTCTCAGCACAGCTGAGAAAGGACTAAAGCAAGCCTCCCCTGGTTGGGAGCAAGGAGCCTTGCCCTCTTTATGTCACTTCTATGCCATTCAACCTGGACTTGCCAAGGCAGTAGTGTGCTAGTAGAATTAGGAGAGAGGACAGGCAGTGGGGAAAGGAAGCAATACTCTCTGTTCTTCTTGCAGCATGAAGCACACTGGGGTTACTGATGGTCATTGCTCTCTAGCCTACATATCTAGTTATAGATTCCCTGGTCACCTTTTTGTTCTACAGGAAAAGTAATCACTCCCCTCTACTGAGGTAAGACAGGTTACTTCAGGAAGAAAGTCTCTCCTTCACTCTCTTCTCTCCCCAGCAGGACCACTCAATATACTAGTTTTGATCACAACGGAAAAAAAAAACATAACTGCATATTGCCAATGAAATCAACCAAGATTCCCTCCCCCCAGCCCAGATGTGGAATAAGAAGAGTCAGCTCTTCCAGTGATATAAATCAGCCTTTTAACCTATGCTCAGAAGAAAGCACCCTGCTTCACAGCAACTGAAGAAAAAATCCCCCCCTCCAATTCCTTGGCTATTTCCCAAATGCACTGAACTCCCTAAATATTTTGCAGCTTGCTTAAGTGGGATCAACAGTTCTGAAACTCAGATGGACAAAGGCAGCTGGCTAAAGGCATACTGGCATGCAAAAATCAGATGTTTGCAAGCTTTTTCATTTAACTCGTCTCTATTTAGAGTCTATTTTTCAAGTTCCTCCTAAAACCTTTATTAAAAAAAAAATAACTGAGCAATAATTCTCCTACTTTTCTTGTGTTTCCTCATATGTGGACTTTTGCTCTCACCTCAATGTGAAAACAGGATCTTTCTTGGTTGGGAACATATTCTATAGGTAATTGCAGGAAAGCAACTTCAACTACATTTGGATTCTTGACAGCCTGTCTGTAACCACATAATCATGATGGGAAGTGACAAGGAATCTCCTTTCTTGCAAGACTATAAATCAACCAGTGCAGTGTAAGCAATGTTTCTCCCTCCCCCCTTTTATGATGTCCAGTATTTTCAGATTTTCTCAGCAAGAGAATTTTCTGAAAATCAAAACTGTCAGCCAACAGAACTTTTACATACTTCTGAAGGAGTTTTCGTTATGATTTGGGACAAAACTTTGTAAGAGAATGCTTAGCTTCCAATTGGCTTGACATGATTCTGTGCTCCCTGACACATCATCCTTGTCTGCCTGAGACCACACCAAAAAATGTCTGTGAGAGCAAGGGATTGAATCGTAATGTCACGGTCCCACTGCACTACCCTAATAAAAAAGCTAGACTTTCCTACTGTGCATTTTCTCCCTTCAGCTGGTCCTGCTTCTAGCATTTGTGGCTCAGTGTCTCTGAGTTGAAAATTCTATACACAAGGCCCCTAAATCATAGAGGACTACATAATGACTTGCACATGAAACCACAGAAAGGCACTGAACACTGCAATCAATCTAAATTCCTGCCCTGAATAGTTTAAAAAAGATGAGAGCTAATAAAGGTTTCCTCTTGAAAACAGCCATTCTTCTCTCCAAGGTTATTTGTCCACTAGGGCCTAAGGAAACACAAGATCATTGGTTAAAATTACTGCTACAGAAATTTAAAAAAAAAAAAAAAGGTCTTCTGAAGGCTTAGACCAAACTTACCTAATAATGCAAACATTTGGAGTAGCATTTTGGAACTAGAGTTCAACCATTAAAATATTTTCTTACTATAAAAGCTCAGACACTAATTTACTTAAATGTGAGGTAAAATATGTCAGCTCAAACTTGAGAAATAAATCAAGAGCATATGGTCGGTTATTGCAATTCAACTAACACAGGGTAACTCCAGCTGCAGTATTCTGATTGTGTGTTTGAGCCCAGAGAGAAATTCCTCAGTATACACTTTCAATGACATAGAAGGGCAGCCCCTCCTCCCTTCTGCCCTTGACTTCTAACAGGAAAAAACCCCAAAAACAGGAGTACCCCAGTCCTGCAGGCTCCCCTCATCACCAGCAAAGCAGAGTATGGCCTCCTGGTTGAAATGTCAGGTTTTAGAAGCCAAGATGAACCCTAAGCACAAACATAGATATGAACTCGAAGCCAGACACAACACTCAAAGATAATAAAATCTGACATGAACAGATTTGCAGAGATTCAGTGGTTAGACATATGTCTACAGTTATTTTCTCAGATAACAGAAGAAATAATGAGGCTCCTTATAGTAGAGTATTTTTGCAGTTGCACCCCTGAGCCCCAAAAGAAACAATAACAGAATGGCAGAGAATTTAAACGTGCTTAGCTTACATACTATGTAAATAATCCTTATGATAACAGCAGAATCAGTGGGGCTGCCTTTGTTCTGCCTAGGCCCAAGTACTGTACAGCTGCAAAGCAGTAGACAGTTCCTACCCATATGAAACAGACAGGAAAGTCCTATGCCCATAGGACTGGGGAACTGGGGCAGAGGGAAGTTTAGGAACCTCCCTACAGTCACATAAGGAAATCTGTAGCAGAATCAAGAGCTCCCAGAGCTGACAGTCTTGTGCCTTCATCATAATACCATCCTTCCTCTCTGAAATCACATGTTCAGGATTAAACAATTGTATGTGGAAACATTTCACAAATATTTGTTATGGAAATAGTTCGACCCTAGGTTTCCGAGGAGCAGAGTCTCACATACGTCTAGCAGTAAAATTAATTATTTATTTAAATGACGGTACAGCAAAGTAACAGCTCGAGCTGGGTGCCTCCGGGGAGGCACCCTGAACAAAGAAATTTTGGGGTAATTATACTCTTTGCAGTCAAATTCCCCCACCTGCTAGTGACAGTCTCTTCCAATCTTCTTTACTCAGTCGGTGGTCTCTTTCCTTTTGATTGGTTCACATCTACATCCCTGGACGGTTGCTATGGTCCTGCTTCACAGTGCCTTATCTTATCCCAAGGTTAACTGTTACCTCTGGCTGTTGTGTGCTGTATCTTTGAGAGCTGGTTCTAGCTGGGTTTGCAGTCGCATCCTCAGCAATGTCTCTCGAGATCATTTACAATTCAGTCCTGCGGCCTGCAGGCTTCATCTACTTTAGGCACTAGTGCTAAGCTGGGCTAGAGCTGAATTAGCTCCCTTTTCTAACATATTGATTTCATAAAGAACACTGGACTTCCTTCCCACCCAGTTCAAATCCATATTTAGGACTGAATTCTGGGCATGGAATGCAGAAATTCAGGATTTTCAGATTTCACAGAATTCAGACTGACTCCTTTGGGACTGACAAATCATCTGGTCAAGAATTACAATTTC